TATTATATACTTTATAATTGTATATATAGTGTGTATATATATACATATATTGCTTTATATATGTGTATATATACACACTATATATATGCATATATATTATATACTTTATGTATATACTATATATATAATATATATCATACTGTATATATACATATGGTATATATATGTATATATATAGTATAAATAAGAGCCCAGCCTCACACTTTGCATGTGGATATATACATAGTATATATACATAAACTAACTCAAACTGGATCAAAGGTCTAAACATAAGACTTAAAACTATAAAGGTCTTAGAAGAAAGCATAAAGGAAAAGTTTCGTGATTTGGGTTTTGCAATGATTTCTTGGATCAAAGACACCAAATGCACAGCCAATAAGAGAATAGATAGATTTAATCAAAATAAAAGTGTTTTGTGCATCAAAGGATACTATCAATAGAGTGAAAAGGCAACTCATGGATTGCAAGAAAATATTTGCAGATCATACATACATATACAAGATCAATATCGAGAATATATAAAAAACTGCCACAACTTGACAACAACAAAAGATACAAACGAGATGATTCAAAACTGGGCAAAAGATTTAAGTAGATATTTCTTCAAAGAAGATACATAAATGCATAAGATGCTCCACATGACTAATCACTAGGGAAATTTAATTCAAAGCCACAATAAGATATCATTTTACATCCATTTTAATGTATATTATCCAAAAAAATAAGTAACAAATGTTAATGAGGTTGTGGAGAAGCTGGAACACTTATGCATTGCTGGTGGGAATGTAAAATAGTGAGGCTGCTGTGGGAAACAGTTTGGCAGTTCCTCAAAAATTTAAAAATCAAATTACCATATGATCCAGCAATTCCACTTCTAGATAGGTATATACCTCCAAAGAACTGAAAGCAGGCACTCAAACTATTACTAGCACATCAATGTTTATAGCAGCATTTCACAGTAACTAGAAGGTAGAAACAATCTAAACATCCATCCATGGCAAATGGACCAACAAAAGAGGACATATAAATACTAGGGAAGGTACTCAGCCTTAGAAAAGAATAAAGTTCTGATATATGCTACAATATTAATGAATCTTGAAGAAACTGTGCCGAGTAAAATAAGCCAGATACAGAAAGAGAAATACCGTGATTCTACTTATGTGAGGTACCTAGAGTAGTCAAATTGTAGAGACAAAGTGTAGTGATGGTTGCCAGGTCTGGGCATAAAAGGATTGGGGAATTATTGCTTAATAGGTATAGATTCAGTTGGTAACATGAACAAATTCCATTGGGAAGATGAAAAACAATGTCTGGGACACAGATGGTGGTGATGGCTTCACAACAATGTTAATGTGTTAAGACTTAATACCACTGAACCGTATATTTTAAAATGGCTAAAATGGTAAGTTTTGCTATGTATATTTTACTTCAATAAGAAAGCCAAAATTATTAATGCCCCAAATAGAGAGATGAAGTAGAGGGTGCCTCCCATGTTAACCAAAATGATTTCTCTTTTAGGCAAAAAGGATAAACATTTTCTTATGAGAGTTTTTTGTTTGTTTGTTTTTGGTATGTCAAGTCTCTTTAAATGTTTGGCAAAATGTTGAAGTTCATACGATGGGATAATTTTTTCAGTCACTTTTTAATTTACATGCATTATTTGCAACTTCTGGCTTTAGGCGGTCAAGAAAAATGTCCAAGGGGCACTAGGACTGTTAACATTGGGAGCTAATTCTGAATATTGTCTAAAGATGTTGTTTAGGGGGATAGTTTCTTGAATTTAAGCTAGCTTTAGCTTAATAATATTTTAAGGATGCAATATTTGAGTCAAAATTGTGCTTGAGGTATCCTCATACCCATCAAACGGACTACTGAATGGTAGGAATATTTTGATATTGTTGTTTTCAGATACCTGTTAAATGAACAATTGCTGCTCTCTCAGTTATAATCCACAGTTACTATCCTGGAGCCCTGCTGATATAATGGTAAGGCATTGTAAAGGGAAAGCAGTGTATAATCTAAGATTATATCTCCATTGCAGGTCTTTCTTAAAGAGAACCCAATCCCTCTCTCCCTGCCAGGTGCACAAAGGAATTTACCTTCTGTTCACAATGACAACCTGGTGGGGCTCCTGGAGGTAAAATTCATATAAGTGTGAGAGGATCCGGGCTCTTAACATGTGGGAGTGGAACCAAATCTTTTAATGTGCTTATTTCTGTTTACCTAAAAGTAAGAGGTTGGGCTGGGCACTGTGGCTCACACCTGTAATCCCAGCATTTTGGGAGGCCAAGGCAGGAGGATTGCTTGAGGCCAGGAATTCAAGACCAGCCTGGGCAACACAGTGAGACCTCCATCACTACCAGAAAAACCCACAAAAATAATTAGCCAGGCATGGTGGTGCATGCTGTAGTCCTAGCTAATTGGGAAACTGAGGTGAGAGGATCACTTGATCCTAGGAGATCAGGGTTATAGTGAGCTTTGATTGCACCATTGCACTCTAGTCTTCCAGCCTGAGACACAGAGCAAGATCCTGTCTCTCCAACAACAACAAAGGAAAGTAACAACAGCTGCCCAAAAGACTCAGACCCAAGAAACCCTGGATATGAACTCTACATGGACTTTATTAAAAGCAAAAAAGGGAGACAAGGAGTGAGCTGATACAAAGTTATTTGTCAGGAATTCTCATTTGTTATAGAAATAACATTGATTAGTGATTGGCTGTACATTGCTAAGTCTAGGGTGTGGGTCATCATGTCCAGTATGATGTTATTAAGTTAATTTATAGCTACTTGTGGCAATAGCAAGCAGTTTCAAGAGATGAATACATAGCTCAAAATGACTTCTGTCTCATTTTAATGTCTCTCTGGGCTTGATAATTTAAAAGGACTGGCATTCCTCTGTTAAAAGTTATTTTATTTTCTCATTTTCTATCAATATATCCTGTTCAGTGAAATATCTATTCATTCCTTTAGCCCATTTTCTAATTGCATTGTTTTGTTGTTGTTGTTGTTGACTTTTGAAAACGTTAAGAATATTCTAGACATAAGTTCCTTTTCAGATATGGTTTCTAAGGTGTGGTTTGCAGTTTTCTCCTAGTTTTTACCTTGTCTTTTCATTATGTTAACAGGCTCTCATGAAGAGCAAAAGTTTTAAATTTTGATAAAATCCAATTGCTAAATTATTATAATTGATTCTGCTTTTTGGTATCACGTCTAAGAATTATTGATCAAGTCCTAGGTCCTGAAGAATTTTTCATTAAATTTCATATTTTTACATTGAGATCTGTGATCCTTTTTTGAATAAAGACATGAGGTTAGACAGGCTTCGATTGTGTCCTGGCTTAGTATGACGGGAGACACCTCCACTTGCTTCCTTTCCTCTGGACAGCCCTCAGCCCCTCAGTCTCTACATCATCTCAACATGGCCGCCCACAGGCCAGAGTGTCTACATGGGCGCCGCCATACTGGCGCCCAGCCTAAGCCACTGAAAAGGGAGCGTGTTTGGCAAAGCGCCATGTTGACTACTGGCAACCTTCGGCCAAGGAGACTGCTGAGCGCGCGCACACCCTAGCAGCGCTGTAAGAAGTCCTGCTGGGCCTGGGAGGCATTAAGAAAAAGGAAGTGGGTCCCGTTCAGGTTCTTGCGACTGTAGTCACCTCACGAACAAATGACCACTGACCTGAGAAAACGTAGGTGAGAGGCAGGTTAGTGGTGGGATGGCAGCATCTGTGGACTGAGCAAGAAGAATCTCTGATGTCTGTGGTGAGTCATCCGGGCAGTGATGGGGACCGTCAATGGATGGAATAGTGGGAGTCAGAGCGATCTCTTGAGAGTGAATCTGAGGGAGGAGTGAGGGTGGACTGGGGGGTCTTTGGTGGTGAATCTGCGGGCGGAGTGAGGGCGGATTGGGGGGGTCTCTGGTGGTGGATCTGCGGGCGGAGGGAGGGCGGATGGGGGGGTCTCTGGTGGTGGATCTGCGGGCGGAGTGAGGGCAGACTATGGGGTTGTGGGGGAGGATGACAGGGGACTCAGGAGGGATATGAAGAATGAATGATGTACATCTTAGCTTCCTCTTGTATATTACCGATCTGTTTACAGTTTCGTTTCTATGTCACTATCATGATATATTTTGCTAAATATTTAAAGAATATATTACCATAGAATTGCATGTTTCCATTTCCATTTTGTTCTCTTTCATATCCAGACTAGCAGCTCCTTTATCATTACGGTTACTATATTTATATATCATTCATTCTTTCGCCCTCGCTTTAGAAAGAAGCGGGCCGGGCGTGGTGGCTCACGCCTGTAATCCCAGCACTTTGGGCCGCTGAGGCGGGCGAATCACGAGGTCAGGAATTCGAGACCAGCCTGGCCAAAATGGTGAAACCCCCGTCTCTACTAAAAATACAATTAGCTGGGCGTGATGGCGGGCACCTGTAATCCTAGCTACTCGGGAGGCTGAGGCAGGAGAATCGTTTGAACCCAAAAGGTGGAGGTTGCAGTGAGCCCAGATCGCGCCATTGCACGCCAGCCTGGGCGACAGTGCGAGACTGCGTCTCAAAAAAAAAAAGAATCACGCGTCTGAAAGGTTTATCTATTTTGTTGGACATTTTGAAATACTGGCTCTTGGTTCTTTAATACTCCTACTCTTTTAATATTAAGTTTTTTCTCTTTTTCTTTTTAGGTACTTTCTATTTTTCCCCACATTTTGATGTAATTTGCTGTTCTTTCCCTTATTTTCTTAAGTTTAATGCTGGATACAGTTAATGTTGTAAAGTTTCTTTAACTACATCTTTATGAAACGTATAAATTCATCTTGATGTTTCCCTTTGATTCTTAGTTATTTAGGAGAGTTTCTTTATTCCCAATAGTTTCTTCATTCCCAAATTATTACAGTATGTTTTAGCTGGGTTTTTTTTATTGTATTGTATTGTCAGAAAATGCAGACTATCAAGTCTCAACTTTTAACAAGTTATCAAGATTTTCCTTGAAGCCAAGTTACTCAATGAACTTTGTTCAACAGATATAAGAGGAAAAGTATATTTTGTTGTATGGGGTAAAATTATCTTTAATTAAGTCTTGTTTGTTTGTATTCTTCAAATCTTTATCTTTCCTAATTTTGATCTACTTGTTTCATACTCTGGAAGAGATGTAATAAAAATCTCTTACTTTAACAGTTCACTTGGCAGTTATATGTGTTTTTTTGCTAATTTTATTTGTGTGTCTGAGGGACGGGCATACATACACCTACGGTTAATGGACTTTTTAATCCTTTTTCATTTATTAAATGCTATTATTATTATAGGATCCCTTTTTTCACCCAAAAAGAAGAAAGAAAAACACTTTTTAACATCGAATTCCACGTTGATACACGGCCACCCGTTTTTACTTTTATTGCATTTGGATGATGTGTCTTTGCCCAGAGCTTTATTTTGTATCCATATCTGTTTCTATGTTAGATTACCTATTTGTTTACAATAAGATACCTTTGTTGTTTTCAAATCCAACTTATAGCCTCTGTTGATAGAATTTTACCTCTATTTATTGTAATAATGATTTATCTGATTGTATGCCTTCCATTTGATGTTCACTATTTAGCTCTTTTTATTTTCTGCCTTTTCTTTATATATTTTGATTGGATGGATGAATTTCTGCTCAGTGTTTCAATTCTGCACCCCATTTTTTTCTGTTTTTTCCTGAGATTATTAGGAATGTTTTATCGTAGGATATTATTTTCTCTTTAGTGGCCTCTTTATCACATTGTCACATTGTCCTTTTTTGTATTTATATATATTTTGCAAGAATTATTACTGAACAGTGTTTTCCTATTGAAGATTTCTCGTGAGATTCATTTCACATTTATTTGGACTACTTCTTTCGGTATTTCTCTCAAAGATATAGATACTCTGCAAGTGCTTTTATTTCTGAAAATGTCTCTCTCGCCCTGGCAGAAGAGTGGTCTTTCAGTTGCTATTTCTGACATCATTTCATTTTCAGTACTGCAAATGAAGAGTTTTCTTATTTCCTTCATTCTTTCTCTGTGAATAGTCTGGTTTTCCACACTTAGATTAGAAGTGTTTTCTATTTATAAATTTATCCTATGTATTCAATAATTTCCCCAGATTTGTTTGTTGATTGAGTTCCTGTTTGCGTGTGTGGAGGAGTTTATGGCCTAGTTTTGTCAGCGGTGGGAGATGTGTTTGTGTGCTAAGGCCCCAGTGCAGGTACAGGTGTGCCTAGGACTGGGACTCTTAGGAGGTCTGACGGAGATACAGGCATGGAGGCCAGTGGTGGGGACATGGGATTGATTGGTAGGGAGCCAGGACCGTTAGAGTAGAGGAATTGAAGGCTCTCTGATCAGGAATTGAAGGATGAATGATTCAGGGCTCATGGGCAGCAAGGCATGGGAATCAGTGAATCTGAGATTTCATTAATGGCTTTGGGAGTAGAATCACTGGGTAGGAATTGACACTTAGAGCAGATTAAAGAGTGAGAATGAGGAGTTAGGTACCCGGGTTGGTGATAACTTAAAGGGCCTGTGAAATCAGATAGTATGGTAATGTAATAGAACAGTATGTCCTTTGGATATTTTATAAAGTAGTTAAGCAATCCACAATTATTGAATATTTAAATGTTTCTAATCTTTTTTTTTTTTTTTTTGACAACCACCATGTTGGATGATCTAATCTTTCTTTTTTATAAACCATGTTATGGTAAAACTTTTGCACTTAAATCTTTGTACAGTATGCAATGGGATGATATTTTAATGTTGTAGCTCTAGAAATAAATTTTTGAGTAAGGTGCATGGGCACTAACTGATGTATGTGTCCATGTGTGACACTGGTACACTTCCGCCTCTCATCTGTACCTCTGCCCATCTGTTTTCTCAGATCTCTGCCCCTTTGTCCGAAGAGCCAAAAATGACCAAGTCCTTGGTGAGTTCTTATTTGTTCATCTATTTATTTGTTGCTTTCTTTTACTTTTAGTGGATTTAGGAGACATCTAACAATCCCTATAGTAAGATGACAAGACTAGATAAATAAAAACTAAGATCAGAGAAAATGAAGAAGAGACTGTCAACCCAGGTCAAATTTAGAATATATGGTCTTACATGGTTATGAACTTTGAACTGTTAAATTGTCTCTGCTCTTCCTGAAAGACATAGCAATAATGGAAATTGGATACATGGTTTATATTATGAACAAGTAATTTATCATGGTTCTTGATGTTTGAGAAATTTTTTGAGAGATCTTCAGGTGGATGATGACAGAACAGTCTTCAACAGTAACCCTGTTGAAAGTGCACCAACAGGCCAGACTCGGTGGCTCACACCTGTAATCCCAGCACTTTGGGAGGCCAAGGTGGGTGGATCGCCTGAGGTCAGGAGTTCGAGACCAACCTGGCTAACATGGTGAAACCCCGTCTCCACTAAAAATACAAAATTTAGCCAGGCATGTTGGTGGGCACCTGTAATCCCAGCTACTCAGAAGGCTGAGGCAGGATAATTGCCCGAACTTGGAAGTTGGAGGTTGCAGTGAGCCGAGATTGTGCCATTGCACTTCAGCCTGGGCGACAAGAGCGAAACTCTGTCTCAAGAAAGAAAAAAAGAGAGAGAGAGAGAGAGAAGAAGGGAGGAAGGGAGGAAGGAAAGGAGGGAGGGAGGGAGGGAGGAGGGAAGGGAGGGAAGAAAGGAGGGAGGAGGGAAGGGAGGAAGGGAGGGAGGGAGGAAGGAAGGAGCACTAACAGTTTTTCTGTTTTTGTCTTAGAGAAAAGTGCTTCTGACACTTTACTTGCATTTGAATTCAGATTCTGATTTAGTAGATATGGGATGGAATATGAGAATTTTTTATTTCTCACAAATTTCCACAGAATATCAGTGCTCCTTGTCCAAAGACTACTTTCTGAAACAATCTTGTTGAGGTTTTATCATGAATGGGAGTTGAATTTTGTTAAATGCTTTTTCCGTACCAACTGATGTGATCATGTGATTTTACTTCTTGAGTTTGTTGGTTTGGTAGAGTACATTGATTGATTTTTGAATATTGAACCAGCCTTGCATCTGTGGAATAAACTCCACTTGATTGTGGTATATACTTTTAAATTATTTATATTTACTTTAAGGATTTTTGTATCATATTTATGAAGGGTATCACTCTTTCTTTTTCCTTTTCTTTCTTTTCTTTTCTTTCTTTCTTTCTTCTTTTGGTACTATTTCTGGTTTAGGTATCAGGATAACCCTGGCCTCATAAGTTGGAATGTGTCCTTTTATATTGATTATTCTGCGAGAAATTGTGGATAGTTTGTGTTTTCTTTTTCTGTACTTTGTCCAATTTTTGTGTCAGGGAAATCATAGCCTCACATAATAAACTGGGAAGTATTCCCTTTTCTCCTGTTTTCTGGGGAAAAAAACTGTATAGAATTGATGTTAATTATGTTAATTCTTTAAATAGTTGGTAGAATTCTCCAGAGAAACTATCTGGGCCTAAAGATTTCTTTTTTGGAAGTTTTAAGATTAAAAGCTCAGTTTCTTTAAGAGTTATAGGGCTATTCACATTGTCTATGTAATATTGAGAAGGTTGTGGTAGTTTGTGTGTTTTCAGGAACTGGTCTCTTTCATCTAAGCTGTCAAATTTATATGTGCAGGGTTGGTGGTGGCTGTCTTAGTCAGCTCAGGCTGCCATAACGGAGTACCATAGAGTGGGTGAACTAGACAACAAAAATTTATTGGAAGGCTGGAACTCAGAGATCAGGGTGCAAGCATGGTCAGGTTCTGATGAGGGCTGTCTTCCTGGCTTGTAGATGGAAACCTTCTCACTTATGCTCACAGGCCTTTCCCCAGTGACTGCCTGCCTGCCTATGGAGAGAGAATCTCTCTCTATAAGGCCACCTGTCTTATCAGATTAGGACCCCTACCTCATTTAACCGTAATTACTTCTTAAAAGCCCTATCTCCAAATACAGTTACATTAGGATTTAGGGCCTAAACATGAATTTTTGGAGGACACACCTCAGTCCATGTGTTCTTTTATATTGATTATTCTGCCAGAGATTGTGTATAGTTTGTGTTTTCTTGGCAGTAAGATATAGCAGTGAAATATTTTCTATTTATCAATATTTTTATTCTTTCTATCGTTCTTTCTTCCTGATGTGACAGGTTCTTTTATCATTTTTGTTTGTTTACTGCATGTTAATTTTCTATTGCTGCTGTAATAAATTATCACAAATTTAGTTCCTTAAAATAACACATTTTTTTTTTACAGTTCTATATTTTAGAAAGCCAGCATGGGTCTCACTGAGCTAAAATCAAGGTGTCAAGAGGACAGTAGTCCTTTCTACAGGGTGTAAGAAAGAATCTATCTATTTCTATTTTCTATGGCTTTTCTAGCTTCTATTGGGTACTCATATTTCAGTTTGTGGCCCCTTCCTCCAACTTCAAAACCATCAACATTGTATCTCTCTGACCACTCTTTTGTAATTGCATCTTTCTATGACTCTCTTTTATTGCCTCCTGCTTTAACTTTTAAAAAAATTTGTGATTATATTCAACCCACCCAGATTATCCAAGATAATTAATCTCCCTATTTTAAGGACTGTGGATTAGCCACCTATATTTGATCTGAAACCTGAATTCTCTTTTGCCATGTAACCTAACATATTCACTGTAAGATTTATTCTCTGTAAGGTTGATTGCCAAGTTTAAAATGAGGAAACTGAGGCCTGCATGAGAACAATTATACACCAATTTATTCGGCTCCTGGGCAAGGTTCTGTGGTCCCAGGGGAAGAGGCCAGGGAAGTCATGCCCGACTCTTCTGGGCGTGGGATTTTATAGGGAGGGAAGGCGCTCTGATTGGCTGTGGAGAACAGGACGTGGATGTAGTGAGCTGCTATAGGTAGGTAGGCGGGATTTCCGGTGAGCGGGCTGGATGGGACCATACACTATTGGGCAGGTTTTGTGGGGGCTTCTTTTAAATTTTGGCGGGGTTTTTCCAACGGCTGGCTAGGTGCCAAGTGCAGAGTTTAGTGTTGAGTGCAGAGGTGGGCGTGGCGAAGCTAAATGCTGAGTGCAGATTCTGGTGACGTAATTTCAGGCATGGCGAGGGATGGGCGTGTCTGAGCTCCCAGCGAGGCAACCGGCCTTACATTCACAATTTCTGGGAACTAGGATGTGAACATCTTTGGGGAGCCATTGTTCTTAGTATCACACACTGTTATTCAATTTGTTTTTCTCCCATAGGTGATGTGTAGTTTCTCTCTGAATGCTTTCAGCATTCTTCTTTGTCTGTAGTTTTCAGATGTTTACTATGATTCTTTCTTAGTGCGAATTTCTTTGGTTTTATCCTTTTTGGGATTTGTTCAGCTTCTATCTGTAAGTGTATATCTTTTTGGAAGTTTCAGAAATTTTCATTCATCATTTCTTCAAATTCTTGTTCAGCCCCCATTCCTTTCTCTTCTTTTTCTGGAACTCCACTAAGACAAATGTTAGATTTTTTGTTATTGTCCCACATGTCTCTGAGGTTCTGTTCATTTTTTTCTCACTCTGTTTTCTCTCCATTCTTTAGATTAGATCATTTCTATTTTATTTTCAGGTACTCAGAATAGTTCTTCTGTTGTCTCCATTATTTTGAGCCCATCTATTGAGTTTTAATGTTGGTTATTTTTTTTAGTCCTAAAATTTTCATTTAGTTTCTTCACCTCTTCTCTTTTGTTGAAATTTTTTTCAATTATTTCAAGTGTGTTCATATGCTTGTTAAAACATTTTTATGAGGACTACTTTAAAATCCTTATGAAATGATTCCAATACATACATCAGTTCAGTTTTAGCATCTGTTGATTGGTCATTTCCTTATTCAAGTTGAGGTTTTTCTGGTTCTTGGTTATACAAACGATTTTCTAATGTCTTGTGGAAACCTTGGGCATTATGAGACTCTAGATCTTATTTGAGTCTTTTCTTTTAGCAGGCGTCCTCTGGGCCAGTGGGGAATTGGGGAGCCTTGCTGTATTACTGCCAGGTGGGTGTGAATTTGCAGGTTCCCTGCTTGAACTCTAACGACAGTTGTTGGGGAGAAAGACACCTCATTACTGCTAGGTGGGATTGATAGTTTGGGCTCCCCAGTAAGCTTCTGGTGACATCACCTTGTCTGAAAGAAGGAGAGGGTACCTTGTTTCTGCTCTTCATGCTGTCTTCTCTGATATTGTTAGGGTGGATGGGGCCTAATTACCTCTCAGAGGGATGAAGGTCTTGGATTTTCACTTGGCCTCCTCTCACACCATACCTGTGGTGATGGGAAGAGTGTCTCATTACTGCTAGGTAGGAATGAAAGTCCAGCCCTGATGTGGCTCCCACTGGCATGGCAGGAAAGCTACCCAGTACCACGGTGCAGAAATAAAAGTCCCAGCTCCCCATTTGGCTTTTTCTCATCCTACCCTACTGCAGTGGAGGGACATCCCAAGAAAGCCAGGCAAATACAGGAGCCTAGGCTACCCATTGAGTCTTTGCTGATAAGAGATGAATCAAGCCCACAGTTTTTGTTGTTTTATCATCTGTGGTGTTTGGATGGAATAGGTTTTGTCTAAAAGTTTTTTTATTTTTCTCTGTTGCCCTTTTCCTGGTTTTTGGCTAAAGACAGCACTTTTTTCCGGGCCTTTTTGTATACACTTGTTGGTGTTTCTGCATTGTAGGTTTTTCGAACACCTGGTCAAAGCTGTCTATATAGGCCGAAAGATACGGAGAACTCATTACTGTTTAGTTCCCTAGTTCCTGAGGCCCCTAGCCAGGGTGCCTTTTTTTCTTTACCATTCAGAGTCTCCATATGTTGGTTTGATGAATAATGTCTTTGGTTTGTAGGTAAACTTAACAGGGTGAGTCGAGACAGCTGCATCTACTCTGTCTTTCCAGGAGTGGAATCCAGTTTATTGATTGTTAACAGAGGACTTCATACATTAAGCATAGTCTTATATGTTTTGTTCAAGTATAACTACCTCTTTGTCCTTTGCATTTTAACTTTTAAAAGTAAGTATTTCATTTTGAATGTCATGAAGGTTTTACTTATATTTACTTAGTCAAATTGTTTTTTGGGGCTTTTTAGAAAAAAAACAGTTGTCATCTACTCTCTTCACCTTCAAATTTCAGCTTCTCAAAGGTAATCACTTTGAACTCAGTTTAGTATCTTTTGCTGTTTTCTTTCATATGTCTAAATAGCATGTTTGTATTACAGTTTCTAGGCTTTCAGTTTTAAGTATTTATCTACAGACAACACAATGGAAAATAAGGAATTAGCTCTCTTTCAGACACTCAGGCCCTCAATACACACGTGCACATTTCTGATGTACCCTCCTTCTAATATGGGTATTTATTTATTTATTTATTTAGTAGTGATAGGATTCCATTATGTTGCCCAGGCTGGTCTAGAACTCCTGGGCTCAAGCGATCCACCCACCTTGGCCTCCCTAAGTGCTGGAATTACAGGCATGAGCCTAATATGGGTATATCATAATTTGGGGTAAATCAATAAGCTGTATTTTATTATGATGATTATATTTTAACAATATTCACAAGTGGGCCATATACTTTTTATGCAGTGCTTTTTGTTTTACCTGAAATTAATAAATGTCTGGCTTAATTAATTTTTTGTTTTCCATATATACATGTACGATATATATTATATGTATCACTAATTCATCTTTCTTCCCAGGTATATAAATATCTTCTCAATATATAATAATTAAAGTAATATAAACATTAATATAGTGATTACTATATGCCAGGCACTATAAGCATTCTTTCTCTATTAACTAATTTAGTCACAATCCCTGTGAGTTATTGCTATAGTTTGGATATTTATCCTCTCCAAATCTCATGCTGAAATTTGATCCCCAGAACCAGGTGTGGTGGCTTGTGTGTAATTCCAGCTACTCAGGAAGCCAAGGTGGGAGGATCACTTGAGGCCAGGAGTTTGAGATCAGCCTAGATAATATAGCAAGACCTTGTCTCTTAAATAAATAAAAAGAAATTTTAAAAATAAAAGAGAAGTTTGATCCCCATGTGGAAGTAGGGCAGAATGGGAAGTGTTTGGGTCATGACAGATCCCTCATGAATAGATTAATGCCCTCTCTGAGGAGGTGGTGAGTTCTCAATCTTATGAGGTCCATGAGGGTTGGTTGTTGAGAAGACCCTGCTGTTGGGAACCAACACAACCCTGTACTTGGGTGCCCCGTGTCCCAGCGGTGACTAGGGAGTGAGAAAAGAAGTAAGACAGAGACTGGCCGGGCGCGGTGGCTCAAGCCTGTAATCCCAGCACTTTGGGAGGCCGAGGCAGGTGGATCACGAGGTCAAGAGATCGAGACCATCCTGGTCAACATGGTGAAACCCCATCTCTACTAAAAATACAAAAAATTAGCTGGGCATGGTGGCGCGTGCCTGTAATCCCAGCTACTCAGGAGGCTGAGGCAGGAGAATTGCCTGAACCTAGGAGGCGGAGGTTGCGGTGAGCCGAGATCGCGCCATTGCACTCCAGCCTGGGTAACAAGAGTGAAACTCTGTCTTAAAAAAAAAAAAAAAGAAGTAAGACAGAGACAAGAATAGAAGTTCACAGCATGGGTCCAGGGGTCCAACGCATTCTCACACAGGGTGATCCGCATTGGCATGGAGCTCTGGGCTCCACACGCTTTTTATTGGGTGCATTATCTTGTTAATCTTGCGGGCTGTGGGGAAGGGGGTTAAGAAGGAAGATAGCTGGGGGAAGAGCATGTGTCTACAGCATTCAATAGCAAATGTGGTTCTTCTAAGAAATACTAAGGACACTGAGTTTTTACCACCCATTGTCTATCCAGGTGCATTGGCAAAGAAGCATAGTGGATAAGGCACCGTAAGGTCTGACCACACACAATACATCAAGGGGTTTTTACCTCCCAAGCATTGTGGACACAGAGCAATCAGAATTACTCCATATTCTGAGAGCATAGGCAGAATATGTGGCATTCTGGTGATCTCTGCCCTGCAAGACTTTCCTGTCCTGTAAGCTCCCATCTGCAAAGACCCTCCCGAGTCTTGTGAGCAGAGGTTGCATTCCTTCCCAGGGTTCTTGCACAAGCCTTCTTTAAGAGACCCTCATGCAAACTCAGTGTTGGGAAGAGATGTGGGACCAAAGCAGTTTTTCTTGCTCTGCAACCACACTGCAGCGTTCCATGGTTTAAAGTGCTCTCAGATGGTCTTTACTACACATCTTTTCCTACACCCTGCTACCTCCAATTCGCTCTCTCTTTCTTCCTCTCTTGCCATATGATCTCTGCACACACCGGCTTCTCTTCCCCTTATGCCATGAGTGGAAACAGCTTGAAGGCCCTCCCCAGGTGCAGATGCTGATGCCATGCCTCTTGCACAGCCTGCAGAAGCATGAGCCAAATAAACATCTTTTTTTTTAATAAATTACCCAGGCTCACGTATTCTTTCATAGCAATGCTAAACAAAGACAGCTATCTATAATCATTATTCTCATTTCACAGAGGAGGAAATCTGTTAAGAGAGAGGTAATTTGCCCAAGATCACACAGCTCCTCAATAACAAAGCCAGGAATAAGACCCAGGCAGTTGGCTCTAGATTACATGCTATTCATTTCAGCTCTTTAAAGAAACTGCTCTTGGATTTGTCAACTTGCTCGTAGTTAGTCTCTGTCTGAACCTCAGCTACTGGCATGGGCTGTCCCTTCTGCATGATACTAGGAATTCTCTTCATGTTTCTCAAACGTTAGATCTCTTGAGTCTCAAGAAGCCAGGTAAGACATGGAAATGGATTGTCCTATAGAGTCTCCAGAAAGAACCTTGACTTTAGGCCAGTAGGACCCTTTTTGGACATATACCTCCAGAACAGTCACAAATTTGTGTTGTTTAAAGCCCAAAAAATATAGGTGGCCTGTAGAAGCCGGAAAAGTCAAGGAAATTGATATTCCCTTAGAACCTCCAGAAGGAATACAGCCCTATTGACACCCAGATACAATCCTAAGTATAAATCATTTAGGTGTCTCTAAGACTACCCTCATTTATGACAGAAACTGCAAGCCCGGGAGTCTCCAAGATCACCCTCAGTTTCAATAATTCATGAGAAGGACTTACACAACTCAGGAAAGCCATTATACTCATGCTTACAGTTCATTACAGGAAGAGGGCATGTATTAAAATCAGCCCAGGAAGAAGTGCATCAGTGCAGTATCAAGGAAAGTTTCAGGTTATTGAGTTTCTCATTAGTATTGTATTTTTAATTTCAAGGATGCTGTTGGTTTTTTTTTTTCTCAAAGGTGGAGTTTCACTCTTCTTGCCCAGGCTGGAGTACAATGGTGCAATCTCGGCTCACCCCAGCCTCCACCTCCTGCCTCATGCTCCCAAGTATCTGGAATTACAGGCATGCACCACCACATTGGGCTAATTTTCTATTTTTAGTAGAGACAGGGTTTCTCCATATTGGTCAGGCTGATCTCAAACTCCCAACCTCAGGTGATCTGCCCATCTCGGCCTCCCAAAGTGCTGCGATTATAGATGTGAGCCACTGTGCCCAGCCCCCGTCATCTAGGTTTTAAGCCCCATATGCATTAGCTATTTGTCCTATTGTTTTCCCTCCTCTCACCCCCTACCCCTCAACAGGCCCCAGTGTGTCTTTTTCCCCTCCCTGTGTCTGTGTGTTCTCATTGTTCAACTCCCACCTATGAGTGACAACACGCAGCGTTTGGTTTTCTGTTCCTGTGTTAGTTTGCTGAGAGTGATGGTTTCCAGTTTCATCCATGTCCCTGCAAAGGTCATGAACTCATTCTTTTTTATGGCAGTATAGTATTCAATGTTGTATATATACCACATTTTCTTTATCCAGTCTATTGGCATTTGGGTTGGCTCCATGTCTTTGCTATTGTAAATAGTACTGCAATAAACATATGTGTGCATGTGTCTTTATAGCAGAATGATTTATATTCCTTTGGATATATACCAGTAATGGGATTGCTGGGTCTAATGGTATTTTTGGTTCCAGATCCTTGAGGAATCCCCATACTGTCTTCCATAATGGTTGAACTAATTTACATTCCCACCAACAGTGTAAAAGTGTTCCTATTTCTCCACAACCTCACCTGCATCTTCTTGGTAGTCTTAAACACAAATCTGATCATCTTTTCTCTACGTATAAAATGCTTTAATGGCAGTCCATTATCTATTAGAGGAAGGAAGATAGTTGCATAATGTCATGCTAATATACCTCTACTGAAATTTCCTCATAAACACCTTTCCTTCACTGCATACAGGCCTCCCATTATGCAGACTAATAAGTAGTTCTCAGAATTTATCATGTATTTTTCTGCCTTTATACCATTGCTCATGCTGCTCCCTTCTAAAAATCACTTTGCCCTACTCTGCTTGCATTAAACATGTCATCTCCCAAGACTAAGCTTAAGTTTCATCAACTGTACAGAACTTAGTCTTACACTCCATGTGAAATTTTCTTCTCTCCATTTGGGGTCATGCTATACTTTGCACATCTATTATGCTCTTTATAATATCTTAGAAAATTGTTGTATCTTGAGCATATTGAAGCATATTGTGTGAAGTTGTGAAGATGTTCACTACATAAAGTTAGTAAGTATATGGCAGATAATTCCTCAGAATTACCTAAGTGTATGTCTTAAGTCTATTTTTATGGGCTGTAGTTAAAATTCAAGTTAGTTTTGAAAGTCTTTGCAGTTCTAATCTGGTCTCTTTCATTTTTATGCTACCCAGAAGCCAATTTGAAACCTGGAGAGTACCCCACAACCTGAAAGCTTTTTCTTGTTGATTTTGATTGATTTTATACATGGGCTGCTTGTAGGTGTGCCCAGGGCATCATGCACATATTTAAAGGACCCTTTTTTCTAACTTTCTCCATAATCCACCCCCACTTTCTATTGGAGAAAGTGGGAACTTCTTTGCTGTCATTCACTTAATTTGGGGTAGGGTTAGTCAACACAATCTCTACAATGCCTGCTGGAGAGGTAAGAGAGGTGCTACCTCTCTTTGAGCTAATGCAGTTGCGATGGTTGAGAGAGCTCCATTCCACCATCTTAGCAGTCACACTGTTTAGTGAAGAAGGCAAAGGATGATTCTTCTTTTGTAGTTTTCACCTGCAGTGTACTGTGGTGCAGTAAAGGATTAACTTTGCCTAGAGAGAGGTTTGGCTTTTGTATTCATCTCCTGGGAGGTAACCTCTAAATCTTTGGAATGTCCTGCAGGCCTTGCTTGGGCCATGCAAGATAATATATAACAACAATGTGATTTATGGTTGGAGCTTTAGACCGCACTGAATATTCTATGCCAACATGTGGTTTATAGTGGGATACCTTTGGCCATGCAGTATCAGCTCTGCAGGGGCAGGCGACTAAGATTAGCCACAGTGGGAATCATTCATGTCCAGATAGTCAAGTCTCAGTAAAAACTCTGGGCATCAAAGCTCAAGTGAACTTCCCTACTTGGCAATACTCCATGCGTATTATCATCACACATTATTGCTGGGAGAAGTAAGTGCTGTCCATATGGCTCCACTGGGAGAAAACCACTGGAATTCACACCTGGAACTCTCCTTGACCCTGCACTAAGCACATCTTTCCTTGGCTGATTTTAATCTATATCCTTTCATTGCAAAACCAATGTATAATGCCATAGCCATGAGTGTAATGGCTTTTCTAATTTCTGTGAGTTCTTCCAGTGAATTATGGAACCTGAGGGTGGTCTCAAGGACCCTTGACTTGGAACTGGTGTCAGAAGTACAGGTGATCCTGGGAAATCCCTCTGCTTGCAGTAGGTGTCAGAAGTGAGGGTGCTCTTGGGTACTTCTGAACTTCGTAGGTATGTATAGTCAAAAGGTCCCAGCCTGCAGTGCTGCCCTATTTCAAATTATTTGGCTAGAAAGTGTGTGCTTTGGGGAGGCCTTTTTTTGTCTGTGCCCATTGATTTTTCCAGGTTGCAAACTACTCTAGTGTTCATTTGGCAGTATGTAGGAGCTCCCTCTCTCCCTCTAAGCAATCCTAGGGAACTCACTACTGTGTTGTTTTTTAAGTCCTTAGGTTCTACTTTCTTTTCTCCACCAATGAGTCTTCTGATACATGCTTTATGTATTTTTCTAGATTTTTAGGTAATTAGCAGGAGAAATGGGGTGGAATTGCACTCTTTCATTGTTTTGTTTTGTTGTTAAAACCAGAAGCCTCAATCCTTGCTTTTAACTTGAATATTTAATGCACTTACACTTAATGTAATTACTAATATGCTTGAATTTATATACACTACCTTACTATTAGTTTTTATTTGAACTACCTATTTTTTCATTCCTTTCTTGACTTTTTATATTACATAATTTTTTTTACTTTTTTTTCCTTTGTTTACTTGTTATAATTCTTTTACTATTTATTTCTTACCCTGGATATTAAAACATCCATCTTTAACTTATTTTATCTCCCTAATAATGCTAGTGTTGTATTTGACGGGAGCGTAGAAAGTTATCACGAGACAAAAGTATGCCAGATTGCAGAGTCATTTATTATGCCGGCGACCACAGAGGACTCACGTCTCTCCAACCTGTGGTGGCAACAGGAGGGTGCCACAATTTTTTATACCCGAAAAACCACCTTGGGAGTGGGGGTGGGGGCGGGGATGGGGATGAAAAGGCTTCAGACATTCCGAGGGCTAGTGGATTCTGTAAATTACCTCCTGGGCAGAGATGAGGGTAGGGGTCTCCGGACATTCCAAGGGATGGGGACTTTTGTCATTCCGTTTGTTACTTAAGTGGTTTACAGAAGTCAAGATATACATTTGTTTACACATTATCTGGTTAAGGTGGAAATCACAGACCTTAGTTACTTATTGATGGAACTAGCTTGGGCTGCTTAGTCTGGCAATTGCTGGTAAGCAAAGGCTAGCAATTCTGGCAGTTACTGATAAGAAAAGGTAAACAGCTTTACATAGTTTTGAAGACAAACTAACAGTTCTATTTACAGAGGCCAAGGACAG